TATGTTAATTTTGTTACTTTTTCAATTTTTTTTCTTTTTGTTATTCTTGCAATTTATCCGAAAAGAAAAAGCTATCTCAGAGAAAAAAATACTACTTGATTTTTTAAAAGGGAAGATTTCTTTTTTTTTAATTACTTTTTGACTTTTTCAGTAAAATTTTGTTTTTTTTTTAACTTTTTTGGATTGGTATAATCAAAGAAGAATTGTTTTTCCTTTCTTTTCTTTCTTTTTATTGATGTTAATCAATCACCTCCTAAATAAATTTTTAAAAACAATAATGAAAAATAGTAGAAACATCTTGGCCTTTTTATCTTTTGACTATATGTATATAAGTTTGGTACATGTTGACCGACATCACTTCTTTATGGAACCTAATATTTATCCATTTACATGCCAACACGAGAATAGTACAAAAATTAATTTAAAAGATAGATATAACTAAAACGAGGCCCAAGTGCAAAGTGCAACCTTGCTTACAAAATAGATTTTACTACTAGATTATATTTTACATCACACACACACGGATACTATAATGTTTTCACATTTTTATTTTGGTCTATAAAATTAGTTGATTACTCTTTCAAATTTTATAAAACAATGAGCTGAATTTTGAGGATGGAGTGTATGGACCGAAACTTAGTTGAGACCTAACGTAAAATAAAACCATCAAAATTATATATATACAACAATTATTAAATAAATCAAAATGATGACATTGATATCATGTGGCTAGTGTGGTCTTGGTCGCTATAAAGATTGATCATGTTGCTGAAAAATAGAAGTGTTGATTGTATAATAATCGAAATTTCGAATTCTGTCTCTCAATAATGAAATAAAGTTTGCCGGTACGACAAAAAAATGATTAAAGTGGATCCAATATTATCGGGAGAAGATTAGCTAAATGCATGGCAGAAGATTCCGTCGGTATTCTCAAGGACCCAACGACAAATTAAACAAATGAAATTGTGAAAGAAAGAAATAAATTTTTAACAATGGAGAGAATCGTAACACTATAGTATAATACAACATATCTTCTTCAAACTCACTAAAAAAATCTTTATATCTCCAATGAGTGAATAAAGGTCAACGTACGAGGACAAAAGAAAAAGTGAAAAGACCAGTTACCAAAGCCAGAAACTCATTAAAAA